GGAGAATCAGGTGTACAAGTTGTCCCTTGGGAAAGATTGATATTGATGTGATCAGTGGACCTGAGCTTGTTCCTCAGGTGTACATTTGTTATCTTTGCACTTCTCAGGGGAAGTTGCCTTCAGAGGATCACCAGATGCTGCCGCAACAGATGGTCGATTGTTCCAGGCGGCGGAGTCCCCTTGGAGTCGTGTAGTCAATGTGGCCTGGCATCCATGGTGCACCTCATGCTGGCAGGTGGCTCAGGACGGTGAGCATTCCTGTCCCCTAGTGCTGAGTGAGGGCATCTTTCAGATTTCCAACGCAGGCATTGCCCAGCCTGCGGTGTCAAATGTCTCATGTCTTCAAATGTGCTTGGATCAATGATGAGTCCTACAAAAAAACATTCCTTGGAAAAGCTGAACAAAATGAGTGAAAGCTCATACCGTCACTCTCATCGGAACTGAGGTCTAGCACATTGCCATCCCCGGGGACTGTAGGAGGGAGGGACAACTTCACTGATTTCCATATGTTCCGCCACCCAGGGTGTCCAGTGGTTACCAGTGGACCCGAGCATGTTTCTCAACAATGCATTTGATTTATTTATACTTCTCAGGAGCAGTTGCTGTGGAAGGCCCTCAGCCTGCTGGCACGGAAGATGGTCGATTGTTCCAAGCAATGAAGGCCCAACGGAGTCCTGGTTTTGGTGTGGCTTGGCCTCCATGGTGCACCCCATGCTGGTGGACAACTCCATATGGTAAGCATTCCTCTGACCCCCATGATGAATGCCGGGTGTCTTTCGGATTTTTGAGACCCACAAGGAGCAGTTCTAAGCAGGTCATTAAGGGCATGGCCAAGGTCTTTAAGGTCATGGACTTGCCCACTGCCCAGCCTGTCGTGTCAGATGTCCTGCCTGTTCCAATGTGCTTGGATCGATGATGAGTCCTCCCAAAAAAAACATTCCTTGGAAAAGCTGAACAAAATGAGTGAAAACTCATACCGTCGCTCTCATCGGAACTGAGGTCCAGCACATTGAAGAGAATTGAAGTGCTGATCATTGGACCTCGGCCCATTTCTCAAGCACACGTTTGATGTCTTTACACTTCTCAGGAGCAGTTGTTGTGACAGATCCATCGCTTGCTGGCAAGGAAGATGGTCGATTCTTCTGACCAACAGAGGCTGCTTTGAGTCCTTGATTTGGCATGGCCTGACATCTGCCGTGCACCCCGTGCTGGCGGGTGGCTCAAGACGGTAAGCATCTCTCTTCCCTGCGTGCAGAGGTGTCTTTCAGATTTCTGAGACCCACAAAGAGCTGTTTGTCAGGAGGCCACTAATGGCATGGCGAGTTCCACTCCCCGAGCATATGGTCTGTGTCCATTGCTCAGTGGCGTGGCTGTGGGTTCTGCAGGGTGTCAAAGGTCTTTAAGGACATTGGCTCACCCATTGCCCAGCCTGCAGTGTGAAATGTCCTGCCTCTTCGAATGTGCTTGGATCGATGATGAGTCCCCCAAAAAAACATTCCTTGGAAAAGCTGAACAAAATGAGTGAAAACTCATACCGTCGCTCTCATCGGAACTGAGGTCCAGCACAACCCATTCCTTCCTAGGTTGGTCACAGGCCCTGCCACAACCCCAGCAGTTATTTCTTCACCTCCTGGGCTGTGAGATGCTCATGGTGTGGTAGCAGAGGCCTGGGCAGGAAGGTATTCCCGAGAAATGGTGATAGAGGGCTCACGTGGGCAGGCATGTCATCAGTGGTCTCGGGCTGTCATTTGGCAGTGATGGGCTTTCCATGGATTTCTGTGGCAGATTACAGCTCAGCCAGCAGGGGTCATTCAGGGCAGACAACAGTGAGTGTGAGGGTCAGGGTGGCTCCCACAGTCCTTGGTCTGGAGGCTGCAGACTACAAGCACCCACTGTGGTGTTGTGACACACCCACAGAGGCACACACAGCCACAGGCAGATACACGCAGCTATGGGCACGTATGTTCTAGCCACACATGCTTCAGAGTAGCATAATCAGGCACATTCATGGAGATGGAGATCAAGCCTGGAGACCCAGGAGAAGCAGGCATGCGAGTTGCTCCACAGGAAAGCGTGGTATTGAAGTGGTGACCAGTGGACCTGGACTTATTTCTTAAGGATGCATTTGATTTCTTTACACTTCTCAGGGGCAGTTGCTGTGGGAGGCACAGCACCTGTTGGAAAAAAGATGGTGAATTCCACCAAGCAACAAAGGCCACGTGGAGTCCTTGTTTTGGTGTGGCCCAGCATCCGCAGTGCACCTGGTGCTGGTGGGTGGCTCAGGATGGTAAGCATTCCTTCACCCCTCTTGCTGAGTGAGGGTGTCTGTGGGATTTTTAACACCCACAGGGAGCTGTTTCTCAGCAGGCCACTAATGGCATGGCAAGTGTCTGGCCTAGAGTGGATGGTCTGTGCCCATTGCTCAGTGGCACAGCTCTGGGTTCTGCAGGGTACCAAAGGTCTTTAAGGTCACCAGCTCACCCACTGCCCAGCCTGCAGTGTCAAATGTCCTGCCTCCTCAAATGTGCTTGGATCGATGATGAGTCCTACAAAAAAACATTCCTTGGAAAAGCTGAACAAAATGAGTGAAAGCTCATACCGTCGCTCTCATCGGAACTGAGGTCCAGCACGTTGCCTCCACTTTGGCTCATTGTGGTTCCTGGGTAACTTTTTCACCTTACGTTAGACTTCACTACCCAGGCATTGACATTCAATTTTTGTGGACGTTTTGACCGTTGTAAAATTCTTTATCATAAATGTATTTGTGAATCATATTTTGGTAGCCCATTACTTTTTCTAGTCTTATTCTTCTTGGTATGAAGTTGGTTTTACCCTCAATGTTAGGTTTTGTTTTTTGTTGTACAATTGATTTTTAGTCAGGTTCCGGTCACCAATCATAACCTTTCACCAACATTATTTTTTTCATGTTGAGGAAGTACATATTTCATGAATGTTTTTGTTTTTGTTCCAGTCTTGGGCTGACTGGCATGTCATCTCTATCTTATCCTGAACTGAGTAGTTGTACAAGTTTTCAGCTTTCAGCATCCAGGGCACCAAGTCTTTTGTATGCACATTGCACATGTTGAAAACATGGTGTTGATGGGGATGCTCTATCTATGTCCATGCTCGTTAGTGGTGTGATGCACTCCCAGGGTACCCAGAATCCACATGTGCAACTCTGTATATGTGTTTCTGTGTACACAAACTTGAAGCCATAGGCAGTTTTCATATGTACCACAGACGTCTGGATGACACGGCCCTCCTGACCTGTGTACCTGTCTGTCTTTCTGAAGCACACTCATTTCATCTGCGCCTCCCTGGTCACATTGGCTTGGAAGGAAGGCCCTTGTTCAAGAAGGATGGTCTTCATCTTGTGTGATGTTTGGAGATGCCATGAGGCCCCTGGATGTACATGGTGTGGGCTCCTTCAGAGCCTTTTGGATTTCTCCTGAATGTAAGTGATTTCTTCTGAAAACATTCTGATATTCCTCACTTGCAGGGACAAAGACTATGTGGATTGATGGTGACTTCCATATATACATTTTTTTGGAAAGGTGAACAAAATGAGTGAAGACTCCATACCATCATCCTCATCGACCTGAGGCCTGGCATGCTTCTCCATCAGGGGCTTTATTTAGCGGGACAAAATCTGTTTGTTGTCATGGGCTGCACTGAGGCTTAGGATGTAGTTGTCTTTCAGTGAAGTTGAGTAGCTGGGTATTTTGTACTGCCCTGGCTGAGAGAGGTGTTTGTTGAAGGACTTCCCCATGAGAAGGTGGGGTAACATCCTGCCAGTGCACAGGAGAAGGTGGACTTAAAGGTGCCACAGGAAGGCAGTATCCAGTTGCCCACCACTGCATGACTGGGTCTGTCCTTGATTCATACCTCTTGGCTTCATCACCCCTAGAGGAAGACAGTTTCTTCCACATGAGGAGATAGCACAGTACCATTCCTGGGCACTTTTTCAAGTCTCTTTAATTTGTGGCCGAGGACATGGGACCTCCTATAGTGTTTGGGTGGCATCAAGGGCTGCCCATCTTGAAGCTGCTGGCAATCCTGATTTGTTCTCTGGAGAGGAGGCTGGAGAAGCTCTCCCCAGTGAACTTGTTCATCTGTAGGAGGAATTCCAAATTCCATGGCCCCAGAAGGGTACTGGCTATGGGAAAGGGAGAGGTCTGTACATGCCTTTACTGGGCATCATTCCATGTGGGTCATGGAGTGATGACTGTGAGCCTCTTTTGCACATGGTAGGGTGCCCACAGTCCATTTCATGATCTTCAAATGATGGTTTGCTTGGGAAGCCTGATGTCATTTGCCTCTGACAGACACCTTGATGCAGTTGGGGTTTATAAGAATAGGTCACTCCCCATGTTGTGGTGACTTATGCTTGGAAATGCAAACTGGGAAGGCGTCTTTGCTTATATACTTCAATGTCTCCTGATACTAGTGTTTTTTCAAATTCCTCCTAATTTTTCACAGCAGTGTTCTTTGGGAAACAGTAGTTGGGTGGCAGGACAGGGCTACCATCTGCAAGCCAATGCTGGATAGGTTTTGGACGCTGATGTTATGTTCACAGGCAAGTGCCATAGATCTGGTTTTCTTAGCTGCAGCACCTCAGAAGACTCGTAGGATTCAGAATGCTTGGTGCTCTTTGGGTCCCTGAGCTGCACCTGTGTCGTGCACATGGAGGTCGATTTGTGATTTTTTACATGTTTCTGGATGGGAAGAGTATGAAGGACCCTGGGGGTGAAAATGCTTCAAGGCCAAAGGAAAGCTGCCTTTTGCATAAGAAGCGGTTACCTCTTGTGCCTGGATCGATGATGAGCCCTCCAAAAAACATTCCTTGGAAAAGCTGAACAAAATGAGTGAAAACTCATACCGTCGCTCTCATCGGAACTGAGGTCCAGCACATTGCCTCCCCCGGGGACTGTAGGAGTGAGGGACAAGGTGAAGAGGTGTATGAGTTGCCCCTTGGGAAAGACTGACATTGATGTGACCAGTGGACCTGGGCTAGTTCCTCAAGCGTGCATGTGTTATCTCTGCACTTCTCAGGGGCAGTTGCCTTGAGAGGCCCGCCATGTGCTGCCACAACAGATGGTTGATTCTTCTGAGCAACAGAGTCCCCATGAAGTCGTGGAGTCAGTGTGGCCTGGCATCCATGGTGCACCTCATGCTGGCGTGTGGCTCAGGATGGTAAGGATTCCTCTGCCCTTGTGCTGAGTGAGGGCATCTTTTAGATTTCCAAGACAGGCATTGCCCAGCCTGTGGTCAAACGTCCTGCCTCTTCAAATGTGCTTGGATCGATGATGAGTCCTCTAAAAAAAACATTCCTTGGAAAAGCTGAACAAAATGAGTGAAAACTCATACCGTCGCTCTCATCGGAACTGAGGTCCAGCATGTTGCCTCCCCCAGGGACTGTAGGAGTGACGGACAACTTCCACCTAGGTTCTACCACCTGGGGTGTCCAGTGGTGACCAGTGGACTTGGACCATTTCTCATGCGTCCCTTTGATTTCTTTACACTTCTCAGAAGCAGCTGCCATGAGAGCCCTGCTGCTTGCTGGCAAGGAAGATGGGCGATTCTTCTGACCAACAGAGGCAGCGTTGGGTCCTTGATTCATTGTGTCCTGACGTCTGCAGTGCACCCCATGCTGGTGGGTGGCTTAGGACGGTAAGCATTTCTCTGCCCTACATGCAAAAGTGTCTTTCAAATTTCTGAGACCCACTGTCCTCATTAAAGTATCTTCATGGCCTTTATCTTCTCTGCTGGCCATGAGAAGGGCTTTCAAGTCAGAGGTGTGGCAGCAGTTGGTGTTGAGAGTGTTCTTCACACTTAGTTTGATGGTACCTTCAAAATTCATGCCTGCCTCATCCCTTCATGTCTGGGCAAACCCATGCACATGTGCAGAAAGAGGAGTAGCCCATGGGAGGTAGATACAGAATACTCCACGGCAGGACAAATGACATGACCCTTGCCACCTACACACCTGACTGCCTTTCTCAAGCACACCTGTGTTGCTCCTATACTTCTTAGGTGGCGTTGGTATGGAAGGAAGGCCAGTGACCACAAGGGATGATCTTGATCTTGGGAGATCCCTGGTGATGGTGAAGTACTCCTAAACATGTGTGGCATGGTCTCTTTCAAGCTGGTGGATAGCTCAGCATGGTAAGTGTTGGCTTTTCAAATGCCCCAATGTTCCATTTTTGCTGGTATGAGGACTGTGCATGGATCAATGAAGACTTCCATACACGGATTCTTCGGAAAACTAAACAAAATCAGTGAAAACACTATACTGTCATCCTCTTCAAACTGAGGCCCAGCACACTGCTTCAACAGAGGTCCATCTCTCCTTCATTGATGTGGGTTGAATCAACAGGTCTGTCCAGGCTTAGGATGGGGTTCTCTTTTGGCAAGGGAAGACCCCAGGGGAGTAGGAGTTCCCATGCACAGGAGATCCCTTGTGTGACCCCTTCTCTCTGTGAGTCCGGGGTAGCACACACACCGTCTTCAGGACTAGGTGAATGTGCAAGTGGCACAAAGGACTTAAGCTCTGCATCCCCCAGTTTGTCCTTGAGTCCTAGCTCTTGGTTCTCTCATCATCAGGAGGAAGGTAAGTTTGTGTAGTTGGGAAGAGAGCACAAGGCCACACTTTTGCCTCATTATTGGTTCATTTTTTTCCTTGTGTATGTACATGGATTTCTGGTCATCAGGTATAGCATCCAAGCCAGGCTGCCTCTGTTGTATACTGTGTGTTGTGAGGATATACAGTTGGCCTCCTGTCCTAAGCTGTGGCTGATAACCAATCAGTCTCTGGCTTATCTCAAATCTGGTGTAAGTCAAAGACTTCCTTATTAGGGGTGCAGGTCCTTGAGGCTTTTGTGATCAGCATTGTGTGTGTGTACGGGTATTTAATGGGGTGGTCAATGTCAGTTCCCTCTAGTGGGATTCTGTACTCCATGGGCTCCCAGGATCCAGATGTGCATCCCTGTGTCTGTGCATTTCTGTGTCCATGTGGTTGGTGGAGCAGTGACGGTGAGTCCATGTGGTTCGTGGAGCAGTGACAGTGAGTCCATGTGTTTGGTGGAGCAGTGACGGTGAGTTCATGTGGTTCATGGAGCAGTGACAGTGAGTCCATGTGGTTCGTGGAGCAGTGACGGTGAGTCCATGTGTTTGGTGGAGCAATGACGGTGAGTTCATGTGGTTCGTGGAACAGTGACGGTGAGTCCATGTGGTTCGTGGAACAGTGACAGTGAGCCTCTTTTGGGCATTGCAGGATGCCCATAGTCCATTTCAAGATGAACTTAGGATGCTGGGACACTGTCACTGTTCCATGAACTACATGGAATGTGCCATTTGGTACATGCAGGTGCAGCCTTCTCACCTTCCCACCACCAGTGCCCTACAGGGACCACGGGACTTGAGTTTCTCCCTATGGATATATGAGTTCAATGTGGATACCCTCCCTGGGCTCCTCTGTAGAAAGCAAATCAGCATGGCCACCCACCTCATGACTGCCTGCCCCTAATGCGACCCAAACACCATGGGAACTCCCACGTCCTCCACTGAAGATGAAAGTGCGCTGAAGAAATATCCAGAAGTGACGTTGTGCTCTCAACCCACAGGAAAGCAATAGTATCCCCGTGGTGGGAAGGGAGCAATGAAACCAAAGGGTGGGAATCAGGGACACACAGCCACGGACAGGGTGGCTACTGCTTCCTGTGCCACCTGCAGCTTCAAGTTCTGCAGACTGGCAGTGTGCTACCCCACCCTGTCAGAGGAAATTCTTTCAACCAGGCTGTCTCTGAGCTACAGAAGTACGAAAAGCCCAGACACTCGCATTCACCCCAAGAGGACCACATCTTAAGCAGGGTTGAACACCATGTCAACAAAGGGATGTTGCCCCTCACCACCCTGCCTCCTATGTAGCATTGTGCTGGACCTCAGTGCAATGAGGATGATGGTACAGAGTTTTCACTCATTTTGTTCAGCTTTCCAAGGAATGTATATATGGAAGTTACCATCGATCCGGGCACAGTGGACTAGTTGCAAGCCCATGTGCCTTCTGCAACTTCACAGACTGATTTGGTTTGAAAGGTCTGTGTTAAGGACCCTCTGTGGGACACTTTTCTCTCTGCTAGGCATTTGAGCTGATACTGGCTCAGGGTTTCTGCCCATCCAAGGTTGTACATACTGCTGTAAGGGCTTGTTGCTCACTGTTCCCCTGTATTGATCAGGAGGTTTGCTCAGGAGAGCTGATGCTGTTTGCATCTGAACTGCTCAGGCACTTCAGTGCAGTTGAGGTTGTAACACTTCCCATGTTGTGGTGACTTCTACTCAGAAAAGTGACCCATCAAGGTCTCTGCCCTTAAATTTTCCATTGTCTTATGATGTTAGGTTATTTTGAAATTCCTCCTTAATTCTTCACAACAGTCTTCTTTATGAAATAGTCATCAAGTTGTATGAGGGCGATCATCCACAGGCCAGGGGTGGAGAGGCTTTGTCCTCTGTAGCCGTGTTCACAGACAAGTGCCTTAAGATGTATGGTGTTCTTGGGGACAGCACCTAGAAGCCCTGTAGAATTCGGCATGTCTGATCCTTTTCTGGGTCCCTGAGCTGAATCTGTGAGGAAGGCTTAGAGGTGGAGGTTGATTTGTGATTGAATGTGTTTCTCAGTGCAAAGTGTGTGGAAAGAGCCCAGGGGTAGAAATAGTTTAAGGCTGAAGGAAAGTTGCTCTTTGGCTGAAACACTTTTTCCCTGCAGCTGTCCCTACTGAAATATCCTCATCGCCTTTATCTTCTCTGATGTCAAGAGAATGCCTTTTGAGTAAGGAGTGGTGAAAGCGTGGTGTTGAGAAAGTTCTTCACATTTAGTGTTTTCTAGTTTGACGGTGCCCTTGGAATGCATGCCTCCCTTATACCTTCATGCCTGGGTATATCCATGCACACATCCCCGAAGAGAAGTCACCCATGGGAGGTAGATACGAATACAACATAGCAGGATGAATGGCATGGCCCTTGCAAACTGTGTACCTGCCTGCCTTTATCAAGCACACCTGTTTTTCCTCTGTACTTCCCAGGTGGCATGGGCTTGCAAAGAAAGAGGCTGCAAGGATGAATTTCATCTTGGGAGATCCCTTGAGATGGCAGGGAGCCCCTGGACATGTGTGGCATGGGCTCCTTCAGGTGCTGGTGCGTTCCTTCATACGGTAAATGTTCATTTCTCAAAAGACCCTAATGTTCTTCCTTTACAGGAATGAATACTATGCATGGATCAGTGATGACTTCTATATAGCATGCAATGATGCATTCCTTGGAAAGCTGAACAAAATGAGTGGGAACTCAGTAAACTATCGTCTTTGTCAAACTGAGGTCCACCAGGGGCTAGAGAGGGACAACTGTCATTTTTTTATGTTCATTGCATGAAGGGTTCGTCCATGCTTAGGAAGGGATTTTGTCTGGGTGGAAGAGTCACAGGGGAGTTGAGGCTGTGTGCACAGGAGATCCCTTGTTTGAAGGACTTCTGTCTACAAGACCAGTGTAGCACCCATGCAGTTCGTAGGACTAGGTGAATGTGTAGACTGCTCAGGGAGAGTTAGCCTGGAGCCTGCCTCTGGGTGGTCAAGATTGTCCTTGACTCCTGGCTCTGCGTTCCCACAACCCCTGAAGGAAGACAGGTGATTGTGCTTGCGAAGAGAGGAAAGGGGCATTATTTTTGCCTTTTTTTTCATTTTTGGTTGAGGACAGTAGAGTTCCGGTCACCTGGCATAGCTTTCAGGCAAGCGTGCCCGTGTTGTGTCCCGTGCATTGTGAGTACATGCATATGGCAGCAGCACACAAGCTCCCATCCAAGCTCATCTGATAGGCAAGGAGTCTCTAGCATAACCCACCCAGTATGGGTCAATGACTTCCTCATTAAGATTACATGCCCCTGTAGCTTTTGTGAGTGACATTATATGTGTCAATGCAAGGATGTTGAGAGGGATGCTCAATATCAGTGCTCTTTTTTTTTTTTTTTTTTTTTTTTTTATAAATTCTTCTTTTTTTTTTTTTTTTTTTTTTTGAGACAGATTCTCGCTGTCTTACCTGGCTGGGATGCAATGACAACATCTCAGCTCACTGCAACCTCTTCCTCCTGGGTTCAAGCAATTCTCCTGCCTCTGCCTCCTGAGTAGCTGGTATTGTAGGCGCGTACCACCACGCCCAGCTAATTTTTGCACTTTCAGTAGAGACAGGGTTTCGCTATGTTGGCCAGGCTGGTCTCGAACTCCTGATTTCAGGTGATGCACCCATCTTGGCCTCCCAAAGTGCTGTGACTACAGGCATGAGCCACGACAGTCGGCCAGTGTCAGTGCTCTTTAGCGTGATGATGCACAACAGCACCCGAGCCCTTGTCAATGCGTTTCTGTGTCCAAAATCAGGAAAAGCCAGGGTTGGGCCAAAACCAGGTAGACTGCCGGGACCAGAGGACATGGCCTTTGTGTACTGTACACCTGTCTGATTTTCTCAAGCATGCCCGTGTTTTCTCTTCACCTCACAGGTGGAAGTGATGAATTGGCCTGGTTCGTGTTGGTGAGGGATAATCATCATCTCTTGTTATCCTCTGAGTGGCAAGTAACCTCCTGGACACACATGGTGTAGGCTTCTTTGGAGGCTGCTGGATGCCTCCTGAATGTAAGCAATTCCTTCCCAGTGCACCCCGATTTTCCTCCTTTGCAAAAACAAAGATTGTGCATGGATCGATGATGACTTCCATATATACATTCCTTGGAAAGCTGAACAAAATGAGTGAAAACTCTATACCGTCATCCTCGTCGCACTGAGGTCCAGCACGTTATTGTAATGGGCTAGACAGAGAGGGCCAACATCTATTTGTTGACATGGGTTACACCAAAGGGTCTGTTGAAGCTTAGCTCAGGTGATCTATGGGTGATTCAAGGTCACGGGAGATTGGTGGCTCTTACGTACAGGAAATTACTTGGTTGAAAGATTGTGTCAGGGAGGGTGGGTAACACGTGCACTGTCTGCAGGACTAGGTGAATGTCCATGTGGTCTAGGAAGAGTTAGCTGGTAGCCTGCCTGTGATTGCCAGTTTGTCCCTGAGACCTCACCGTGGCTTCCCAGGTCCCCAGAGGAAGACAGATCTGTCTGGTAGGGAGGAGAGTACAGGGCCACATGTTTGTTATTCATTGGCTTTGTCCTCCGTTGAAGTCATTAGAGTTTTGGTCACTGGGAATAGTCTATGTAGCCTGTGTGCCTCTGTTGTATCCCATATGTTATGGGGACATGTACATTGTATTAACAAGTGAGTTCCTGCTCCAAGCTGGTTCTGATACCCAGGAAGTCTCTGGTTTATCTTAAAACTGGCACAGGTTAAAACCTTCCTCATCAGGGGTCCAGGACCCTAAGGTTTTTGTGAACACCATTGCTCGTATTGAAGCTACAATGTTGAGAAGGATGCTGAACATGCTCTTTGGTGGGATGAGGTGCTCTGAAGGCACCCAGCCCCCAGATGAGCATACTTGTGTCCCGTGCATTTATGTGTCCAGAATCAGGGGAGGCCATAGACAGGCAGACAGCAGATGTACTGCAGGGTGTGGAGGACATGGCCCTTGTGACCTGTGGATCTGTCTGCCTTTCTGAAGCACGCTTGTGTTTATTATACATTTCGCAGATGGTGTTGGCATAAAAGGCAGGCTCGTGTCATGAGGAATGATTGTCATCTCATGGACTCCTTCGGATGCTGTTGAAACCCTCCTGAATGTAAGTGATTCCATCTGAAAGCATCCTGAGTTTCCTCATTTGCAGAGATGAAACCTGAGTGTGAATCGATGATGACTTCCATCTATACATTCCTTGGAAAGCTGAACAAAATGCGTGAAAACTCTATACCATCATCCTCATCGAACTGAGATCCAGCACATTACTCCAAACAGGGGCTAGACAGAGAGGGCCAACGTCTCTTTGTTGGTATCGGTTGCACCAAGGGATCCATCCAGGCTTAGGATGGGGTCTCTTTGGGCAAATGGAAGTCACAGGGAAGTGGGAGCTCCCATGCACAGGAAACTCCTTGGTTGAAGGACTTCTGTCTCCCAGGGTGGGATAACTCATGCACTGTCTGAAAAGCTATGTGAATGGCAAGTTGCATGGGGAGAGTTTGTGGGTAGCCTGCCTATGATGGCCAAGTCTGTCCTTGAGTCCAAGCTCTGGATTCCCAGAGGAAGACAGATCCTCGGGTTGGTGGGAGAGCAGAAGGCTACACCATTCTCATTGGTTAGCTCATTTTGTCCTTGATGGAGAACATTGTAGCTCCAGGAACCCAGCAAAGCCTCCTTCCCTCATGCCCATGTCCTATCCAGTATGTTATGAGAATTTCTGTATTGCGTGAATAGGTCGGGGTACTCTCCAAGCTGGGGCCATCAGGCATCAAATCTCTGGGTTATTCTAAACCTGGTTTAAGTCAATGGCTTCCTCTCTAGGGGTTCAGGGCTCCAATGCTTTATAAGCTGCTTTGCAGGTGTTGAAGCAACGATGTTGAGAGGCATCCTCAACGTCAGTGCTCTTTAGCGGGATGGTACACTCTAAGGGCCCTCGAGCCCGAAGGAAGCATCTCTGTGTCCATGCGTTTCTGCACCCATGAACAAGAGGAGGCCATAGACAGGCAGATAATAGATGTATCGCAGCGGGCTAGATGACATGGCCCTTGTGACGTGTGCACCTTTCTGCCTTTCTGAAGCTCACCTGTGTTTCCTCTGCACTTCACAGGTGGTGTTGGTGTAAAATGCAGGCTCGTGTCATGAGGAATGATTGTCATCTCATGTTCTCCTTGGAGATGGCAGGAAGTTCCTGGTCCACATGGTGTGGAATACTTCAGAGGCTGTTCAAACTCTTCTGAATGTAAGTGATTGCATCCCAAAGCACCCTGAGTTTCTTCATTTGCTGGCATGAATAATGTGCATGGATCGATCATTCCTTGGAAAGCTGAACAAAATGAGTGAAAACTCTATACCGCCATCCTCATCGAACTGAGGTCCAGCACATTACTCCAACAGGGGCTAGACAGAGAGGGCCAACATCCATTTGTTGACAAGGTTTACACGGAGTGGTCTGTTCAGGTTTAGTCTGGGGTGTTTTATGGGCGAATGGGGTCACGGGAGAGTGGTGGCTCCCATGCACGGGATATTTCTTGTTTGAAGGACTTTGTCAGGGAGGGTGGGTAACACATGCATTGTCTGCAGGACTAGGTGAATGTCCTTGAGGCCTAGAAAGAGTTAGCTGTAGCCTGCCTGTGCTCGCCAACTTGTCCTTGAGTTCTTGCTCGTTCCCAGGTCCCCAGAAGAAGACAGATCTGTCTGGTAGAGAGGAGAGTTGACCACATCTTTATCACATGTTGACTGACTGTCCTTGGTTGAAGACGTTACAGTTTTGGTCACTGGGCATAGTCTATGTGCCTGTGTGCCCCTGTTGTATCTCATTTATTTTGGGGACATGTACATTGCATGTATAAGTGAGTTCCTGTTCTAAGCTGGTTCTGATACCCAAGAAGTCTCTGGCTTAACCTAAAACCGCCGTAGGTTAAAACCTTCCTCATTAGGGTCCAGGGACCCAAGAGTTCTGTGAGAATCAATGCAGATATTGAAGCAACAATGTAGAGAGGATGCTGAACATGCTCTTTAGTGGAATGAGGTACTCTGAAGGCACCTGGCACCCAGACGAGCATCCCCACGTCCATGCATTTCTGTGTCCATGAACAGGAAAGGCCATTGATAAGCAGATAGCAGATGATTCGCAGGGAGCTAGATGACACGGCCTTGATGACCTGTGCACCTGTCTGCCTTTCTGAAACATACCTGTGTTTCCTCTTTACTTTGCAGGTGGTGTTGGCATAAAAGGCAGGCTCGTGTCATGAGGAATGATTATCATCTTGTGCGATCCTTGGAGATGGCAGGAAGCCCCTGGCCACACATGGTATGGACTCCTTCAGGGGCTGTTGAAACTCTCCTGAATGCAAGTGATTCCATTTCAAAGCACCCTGAGTTTCCTCATTTTCAGGCATGAATAATGTACATGGATCGATGATGACTTCCATATATACATTCCTTGGAAAGCTGAACAAAATGAGTGAAAACTCTATACCGTCATCCTCGTCGAACTGAGGTCCTGCACGTTACTCCAACAGGGGCTAGACAGAGAGGGCCAACATCTGTTTGTTGATACGGGTTGCACGATGGTGTCCATCCAGACTTAGGATGGGGTATCTTTTGGCAAATGGAAGTCCTAGGGAAGTGGGAGCTCCCATGCACAGGAAAGTCCTTGGTTGAAGGACTTCTGTCTCCCAGGATGGGATAACTCATGCGCTGTCTGAAAAGCTAGGTGAATGGCAGGTTGCATGGGGAGAGTTTGTGGGTAGCCTGCCTCTTAGTGGCCATGTCTGTCCTTTAGTCCCAGCTCTGGATTCCTGAAGTTGTGGGGAGAGCACAAGGCCACACCATTCTCATTGTTAGCTCATTCTGTCCTTGGCGGAGAACATTGTACTTCCAAATAGCCTCTTTGCCTGCATGCCCATGTCATATCCCATATGTGATGAGGATTTGTGTATTGTCTGATTAGGTGGGTGCCTGCTCCAAGCTGGGGCTGTCAGGCGAGTCTCTGGGTTAACTCTAACCTGATTGAGGTCTGCAGCATCCCCTCTAGGGGTTTAGGGCCCCTAGTGTTTTGTAAGCTGCACTGTAGGTATTGAACCCGTCATGTTGAGAGGGCTGGTCAACGTCAGTGCTCTTTAACAGCATTGTACACTCTCCCCAGCCACAAGATGAGCATCCCCGTGTCCTTGCATTTCTGCCTCATGAACAGGAGGCGATGGACAGGCAGATATATCTATATCACAGGGGGCTAGATGACATGGCCCTCATGCCCTATTCAGCTGTCTGCCTTTCTGAAACTCACCTGTGTTTCTTCTGTACTTCACAGGTGGTGTTGGTGTAAAAGCAGTTTATGTCATGAGAAATGATTATCATCTCGTACGATCCTTGGAGATGGTAGGAAGTCCCTAGAAAATATGGTGTGAATTCCTTCAGAGCCTGTCAAAACCCTACCGAATGTAAGTGATTGCATCCCAAAGCACCCTGAGTTTCATCATTTGCGGGCATGAATAATGTGCGTGGATCGATGATGACTTCCATATATACATTCCTTGGAAAGCTGAACAAAATGAGTGAAAACTCTATACCGTCATCCTCGTCGAACTGAGGTCCAGCACGTTACTCCAACAGGGGCTAGACAGAGAGGGCCAACATCTGTTTGTTGACATGGGTTACACCCAGGGGTCTGTTCAGGCTTAGTATGGGCTTTTTTTATGGGTGAATGGGGTCATGGGAGAGTGGTGCCTCCCACGTATAGGAAATTTCTTGTCTGAAGGACTTTGTCAGTGAGGGTGAGTAACGTGCACTGTCTGCAGCACTAGGTTGATGTCCATGCATCCTAGGAAGTGTTAGCTGGTAGCCTGTCTATGATCGACAGTGTATCCTTGAGTCCTTGCTATGGGTTCCCAGGTCCCCTGACAGAAGACAGATCTATTTGGTTGGGAGGAGAGGTCAAGGTCACATCTTTATCATTTGTTGGCTGACTTTGTCCTTGGTTGAGGAAGTTAGAGTTTTGGTCACCGGGCATAGATTCTGTTCCTGTGCCCTTTTGTATCCCATGTGTTTGGGGTTCATGCATATTGCATGAACAAGTGAGTTCCTGCTCCAAGTTTTTTCCTATACCCAAGGAGTGTCTGGCTTATCCTAAACCCAATGTAGGTTAAAGCCATCATCATTAGGGGTCCAGGGCCCCAAGGCTTTGTGCCTTATTGCAGATATTGAAGCAACAATGTTGAAAAGAAAGGTAAACATGTTCTTTAGTGGGATGTTGTGCTCTGAAGGCACCCAGCCCCCAGACGAGCTTCTCCATATCCGTGCATTTCTACGTCCATGAGCAGGGGAGGCCAGAGATAGGCAGATAGCAGTTATATCGCAGGGGACTGGATAACATGGCCACCATGACCTCTGCACAGGTCTGCCTTTCTGAAGCACACCTGTGTTTCCTCTGCACTTTGCAGGTGGTGTTGGCGTAAACAGCAGTCTTGTGTCAGCAAGGGATCATTGTCATCTTATGCGATCCTTGGAGATGACAGGAAGTCCCGGGACATATGTAGTATAGGCCCCTTCAGAGCCTGTCAGATCCCTCCTGAATGTAAGTGATTCCTTCCTAAAGTATACTGAGTTTCCTCATTTGTGCAGGCAAAGAGTGTGTGGATCGATGATGACTTCCACATATACTTCTTTGGAAAGCTGAACAAAATGAGTGAAAACTCTATACCGTCATCCTCATCGAACTGAGGTCCAGCACACTGCTCATCATAGGCTAGAGAGAGGGACAAAATCCCGTGTGTTGACATGGGCTGCAGCAATGCTTGGGACAGGGTCATCTTTGCAGGAAGTGGAGTAGCTGGGCATTTTGGACTTCTGTGGTTGAGCCACGGCTTGGTGGAAGCACTTCCCTCTGTGCTGCTACGTGTGTTCTTGATTCACACCCCTTGGCTCTTGCACTCCCCAGAGGAAGACAGCAAAATACTCCTGGGTACTTCTACAGTGCACTTTCATCCTCATTTGGAGACTTGGGAGTTCCCATGGTGTTTGGGTAGCATTGGGGGCAGGCAGTCCTCAGGATGATGGTGATGCTAATTTGCTTTCTGAAGAGGAGCCCGGAGAGGGTATCCATGTTGAACTTGTATGTCCATAGCAGGAAACCGAAGTCTCGCAGCCCTGAGGGGTCCTGGCAGTGGGAAGGGAAGAGTCTGCATGTTCATTTACTGGACAGCATTCCGTGTGGGTTGTGGAGTAATGACTGTGAGCCTCTTTTGGGCATTGCAGGGTACCTGTGTTTTATTTCATCATGACCTCAGGGTGCTGGGGCAGGAATGTGATTGCAGGTCCACATCCTTCTGCAACTCATCAGACTGACTTGGTTTGGAAGGTGTGTGTTCACACCCTCCAAAGAGATGCTTGTATCCCTCAGATATTTCAGCTTATATCCACCCAGGGTTTCTACCTATCCTAGGTTGGGAATACTTTGCCTCTGAACCCCTCAGGTACCTCAATGCAACCAGCGTGCCTAATTATGAGAGAGTGTCTTCCCATATCCTGGTGACCTCTACTCGGAAATGTGGTCCAGGATGGTCTCTGTGCTTAAATACCTTAGTAGCTCATGATGTTAGGCTATTCTCATTCCTCCTAATTCTTCCCAACAGTCTTCTTTGTTAAATAGTCTTCTTGTTATAGGACGGGGCTATGTAGCGTCCACAGGCAGTGATGCGTAGGTTTTGAACTGCATGGCCATGTTCACAGGCAAGTGCCTTAAAAGTATGGTGCTCTCGGCCACAGTGCCTCAGAAGCCCTGTGGGATTCAGTGTGTCTGGTGCTCCTTGGGGTCCCTGAGCTGGACCTGTAAGGAAGACGCCGGGGTAGACTTTGAGTTGTTACTGAATGTTTTTCTCAATGTGAAAAGCGTTAAAGCAGCCTAGGGTGAAAATTCTTCAAGACGGAAGGAAAATTGCCTTTTGTGCTAGGAGAGCTTTTCCCCAAAACTCTCCTCATTTAAATAGCCCTGTGGTCTGTGTCTTCTCTGATGATGAAGAGAAGGGCTTTTGAGTCAGTGGTGGCAAATGGGTGGTGTTGAAAGAGTTCTTACACTTTGGGTTCTGTAGCTTGATGGTACCTTCAAAATTAACACATGCCTGGTATGTTCGTTCCTGGGTGGACCCATATACCCATCTCAAAAGAGGAGTAGCCTGTGGGAAGTACATATGGGATACACCACAGTGAGTCAAATGCATGGTCCTTTTGATGTGTGTACCTGCCTGCCTTTCTGAAACACACCTGTTTTTCCTCTGCACTTCCCAGGTGTTATGGCCATGGAAGGAAGGCCAGTGGCCATGAGGGACAGTCTTCATCTTGGGAGATCCCTAGAGATGGCAGGGAGCCCCTTGACATGTGGAATGTGGTCTCCTTTGGATGCTGGTGGATCCCTCAGGTTGGTAAATGTCCATTTTCCAAAAGCCCCTGATGTTCCTTCTTTGCAGAGATAAAGACTGTGTGTGGATCGATGATGACCTCAATGCCTGCATTCCTTGGAAAGCTGAACAAAATGAGTGAAAACTCTATACCGTCATCCTTATTGAACTGAGGTCCAGCACACTGCTCCAGCAGGGGCTAGAGAGGGAGGGACAACTTTCATTTGTTGATGCGGGTCACAGTAAACCATCCATCCAGGTCTGCTTTGGATCAAAGGGAGTCACAGGGCAGTTGGCGCTCCTGCGTGGAGGAGATTCCTTGTGCGAAGGACTTCTCTCTGTGAGGCTGATCTGCAGGACTACGTGAACGTGCAGGTGGCACAGAAGAGTTAGCCAGTAACCCACCTCTGTGTGGCCAGATTTGTCCTTGAGTCCTGACTCTGGGTTCCCTTTTCCCCTGGAGGTAGACAGGTCCTTGTGGTTGGGAAGAAAGCCCAAGGCCACACCTTTGCTGTTCTTTGGCTCATGTTTTTTTCATGGCTGAGGACTTTTTAGTGCCCATGGTGTTTTTGTAACAGCAGTGGCAGTCAGTTGTGAGGAGGAGGCTGATCCTGATTTTCTTTCTGGAAAGTACCCTGTAGGTTGGCTCCATTTGTGATTTGTGTGTCCCCAGAGAGAAATGGAGATCCCATGGCTGGTGATGAGTACTGCAGGTGGGAATAAGAAAGCACCTTGCATGTATTAACCTGATACCCTAACCCAGGGATGGTCAACTGACATTTGCGATTCTGTTTCACATGGTGTGTACCTTACATCACAAATGCCACGTTGGCCTTGGGGTGCTGGGAATGGAATGTGATCTGACATCTACATGGGAGGGCATTTCAGCAGATTGCTTTTATTTCCTGACAGTCTTTCTTATATCCCCAGTCACGTGTTTTCTCCAGGGGACATTTTATTGGAGTCTTTTGGGTCAATATCAGAAAAAAAAAGTTGTGGTTATCCAAATATGACGTGTGGTGATTTAACAGTGGTATGGATGGTAGCTCAAGTAAACAGCAGCAAAACCAAAATATATTTATGTACACAGGTGGCCCTGTTCTCTACTACATATTGAGTCTGGTGTTAGTCTCTTCGTCCTGCACTAATCTCAGTGATCTGGAAACTTTTCCAGGAGGCCTTTTTAAGATATTTTGTGTCCTTGTAGTTGTATTTGTACTCTCTGCAGTGCTAAGTCTGGATCATTCTGCTGTCCATGTGCTACTGGAATTTCCATTGTTTGGGGGGCACTGTCTGGCCATTGTGGATACATCTTTTGGGGCCCTATAACAAGAAGGACATTAGAAGTCAGGTTTGGAGTAGTGGTGACCTCCTCCCTAAGGGCAAAGGCAGTTTTCTATCTAAATCTTATTGCAGGTTTCACAGCCCAGGTGTTGTGTGGCAGGAAGAACACAAAATTAGAGTATCTCATGTGGACTTGGGTCCAGTATTAAGGCAGTGTTGGGTAATTTTCCATATCTTCAAGGTTCCCATTAGACTCTTTATGCCCAGCAGATATTCACAAGCCAACTTTTCTCTTATGCTGGAAGCCTCATTCATGCCATGTAGAGTTTCCATGAAACCATCATTCAGGTTCTAAGTGCAAGGATTTCTCTCAAGAGATTAATTTGTTTCTTCGACAGAGCATTTTTCTTCTCCATAAATTCTACTTCCTGTGGTTTGCAGCACAGATTAAGTTCCCAGGTCTTATTCTGCTTTTCTGCCCAATCTTGGATCAGTAAGCCTTTAAATGTGTTCTTTGATTACTGGCAAAAGTTCTTGGAATACCAGTCCTTAGCCACAAGCAATACAGAGCTACAGAGGCTTGTAGTTTTTTTTAAATTGCCTGAAGCAGTGGGTTTGTTTGTATCTTGTCATTTATGGCTGCCAGCAAAACTTAGTTGTTACTCAACCAGACCACACCCACCAATTATAGTACTTCTGGTTCCTTCTGTAGTAGCTTGTGGGAAGTAGATACAGGATGAACCACAGCGGAATGAATGATATGGCTCTTGAGACCTGTGTACCTGCTTCCCTTTCTCAAGCATACCTGTTTTGCTTCCAATTCCTAGATGGTCTGGCATGGAAGAAGGCCAGAGGCTGTGATGGATGATCTTTGTCATGGGAGATTCCTGGAGATGGCAGGGAGCCCCAGGCCATGTGTGGCACGTGTGGCGTGGGCCTCTCCACGTGCTGGCGGATCCCTCAGGACGGTAAATGTCCATTTCCCAAAATCCTGTTATCCCGTCTTTGCAGGTACAAAGACTGTGCGTGGATCAATGATGACTTTTATACATGCATTCCTTGGAAAGCTGAACAAAATGAGTGAAAACCCTATACCGTCATCCTCGTCAAGCTGAGGTCCAGCACATTGCTCCAACAGCGGGTAGATAAAGAGGGACAGCTTCCATTCATTGACGCAGGTTGCATCGGCTTTGTCCAGGCTTCTGTGCACAGGAGATTCCTTGTGTGAATGACTTCTTTCTGTGACGGCAGGGTAGCACACATACTGTATGCACTAGTAAGTGAATGTGCAGGTGGAACAGGGAGAGTTAGCTGGCAGCCCGTCTCTGTTTGTCTTGTTCTAGCTCTGCAGTCCCTCAGCCCTTAGAGGAAGTTGGGTTCTTCAGAAGACTTAAATTTGTGGAATTTAGTAGAATATTGCCTACATAATGTTCCCAGTGAATGCTAGGCATATCACCCAAGATGGCTAGGCCACTGGCCATAAAGCATAGTAAATAGTAGGGTGTGCATATATTCACTGGAGAGGACCTGAAAAACCCTTTTTTGGTCCTCCAAGGTGAATGCCTGCATAAGCAAGTGAAGCACGCTCCGCCTGGCCTGACCTGTGCTCCACACCGTATCTCCCACTTCTGTTGCCCCTTTGCCTTGCCAGGTGGAGCCTGACTGGCTTTTGCCACTGCTGCCACCACAGACCACCTGGAGCCCTAGCTAGTTTGAGGAAAGTGGCTCTGCCTGATTTTCCTTTTTTTCTCTTTTTTTCTCCATTCCTGACTCCAGCAGGTGGGAGTTGGAGTCGCTGCTTCTGCAGCCACAGAAGACTCCCCAGTTTGGAGGGCTGTGGCTGTGGGCTCCCTAGGTATCTCTCTGCAGAACCCTTCCATCTTCCATTTTACCAACCCCATCAATAACTAACACAGTGGCGGAGGAGCTCATGACTCTGTTTGTCATTAACTCTTCTAACTTACACAGCTGTACTCAGCCACTGGTCAGAATAAGAGAAAAAGCAAGGTCCCCCTCCTGGGACCAGGAGGACCCTACCAGAAATTTTACATTTTATTTTTGTTTGTGCATATACCTTTTCTATTTAAATGTGGACTTGGATTTGATATGCTTCCAGCACAGATACAGATTCCATATGTAAGAGAGTATGGAGTTGCATAGAAAGGAGACTTGTCATTCTCCTGTACTGTTGGTGTTCTAATATATCTTCATGGTTTTTGCCTCTTCTGGAGTTAGAAGATACACAAACATAGTTTGTAACGTGGCCTCTTCGTATTTTAGTAAGGGACCAAATGTGCATGTCAGTGACAGGTGTTACCTTGAATTGGGGTCAATGTTTGTGTGACTGTACTCAGTGATGTCATTTTCTCTCACACTCAAGTCACAAAATATTTAACCACTCATTTTTTTATATCTCTGGAGGGATAACCCAAAGGATTGTACTAGTAAAGCCAGAAGAATTTCCACTTATGCTAATTATTTGTGTAATACTTAGTTGGCTTTATCTGTTGTTTGTTGGCTTATTTTTCTGTAGCTTTTCAAAGTTTTTCTATGGGTTATGTTAAAGTGTCTGACAATGATGGAGCCTAGAAGACATACTTCAGTTTCCAGGATGGTTGTGTTTTCCACAGAGGCATACGTAAACCATTGGTGCAGCCTTGCCTTGCCTTTCACAGGTAATTCTGGGTGCAGTGTTTCATACCTAGACTGACTTCTATCCTACCATACTTGTTTGTGTGCAGGTATTCTGGGAGATACAATTCTTGTTTTCACCTCCATAGCTATCTCACACGCACTCTTGTGATGGTTTGATTTATCAGTTGTGTTCAGCACATTTCAGTGAGCAAAATATGAGATTTAATTTTCCATGTAAAATCCGTGATTGCCAACTGGGTGTGGTGGCTCATTCCTGTAATCTCAGCACTTTGGGAGGCCAAGGCAGGTGAATCATGAGGTCAAGAGATCAAAACATCCTAGCCAACATGAGAAACCCCATCTCTACTAAAACTATAAAAATTAGCCAGGTGTGGCTGCACACACCTGTAGTCCCAGCTACTCAGGAGGCTGAGGCAGGAGAATTGCTTGAACCTAGGAGGCAGATGAGCTGAGATTGCACACTGCAGTTCAGCCTGGGTGACAGAGCGAGACTCTGTCTCCAAAAAAAAAAAATACATGACTACCAGTACATCAAAGCCTCCCTGATTTTTAGTTGGTGTTCTGTTTGTTTTAATGACAAGGTTAGTCAGTTTGGAGTGACATCTAGAAATAACATGTTGTGATACATAGTGTTTTGGTTCCTCAGAGTACACAGTTTGAGCACTAGTGAAGGTCTTCGGCTTTTCACCACTGTAGCAGTGGCAGTTTCAGTAGGATTTGTATTTGCCTTCGAGATTCTTCTGTTCCAGGAGTGATGATGGTACTCGCAGAAACATAGGTTCATGTAAAAGTTTTCCTCTGATACCTTCTATTTGCTGATTGTGATAATGAAAGGGAAAAGCAGAAGTGCCGACATACTTCAAGATAGTTATTTTGCAGTTTTCTGCATGCAACTTTACTGTTATCCTTTGGACTCCCCAGGGTACCTGTGAAGTGCACTTTGGCTAAATGGTGGTGAACAGTTAAGTAATTTGAGTCAGGCTTCTTCACTCCAGTTGAATTGCCACTATTCCTGCCTGGTGTCCTGGAGGTGCTGCATGTTTTTGCAGAAATTTTATTCTCTGGTAATTTTGCATTGGTCCAGTGCATGCCACTTTGATAGCTCCAATACATGAGGTAGATGTTCTTGTCAGATCTGTTGTGAGAAAGAAGGTATACAAACTGTCAGGGAGCACCCATGAGAAGCAATGTCTTTTAGGCCAGGGGTCTATGGCAATCTCTGTTGCCTGCTGTTAGCCAAAGTCACCATCCATTTTTTTGTTTTGTTTTGTTTTCTTCTTTTTTCAGACAGGGTCTCACTCCATCACCCCGATTGGAGTGCAGTGGTACAATTACAGCTTACTACAGTCTCGAACTCCTGGGTCCAAGCTGTGCTCCCTCCTGAGCCTTCTGCATAGCTGGAACTACAGGTACAGGCCACTATGCCTGGATAAATTTTCCAAAAAAAATTTTGTACAGACAGTGTCTCTTTGTTGCCAAGGGTGACCTTGAACTCCTGGCTTCAAGTGATTCTTCTGCCTCCACCTCCCACAGTGCTAGGATTACAGGTGTGAGCTTTTTTTGAGATGGATTGATATTCTGCATGTTTGCTGAGATTGAAATGAGAGAATTGTACACTGAAGTTTTTTTCTGAGTGAAGTGAAAACGATTTCTATTTTAAATGTTATTAATTCAGTTAAAGGCACAACATGTATTATACAAAACAACATTGCTTCGTGATTGTTGACCAATGCCTGCCTCCATAATTAAGGGGGCATGTGCTTCCTGCACCCTTCATAGGTGTAGTTGCCACGAAAACTCATGCAAATATGGATTTAAAGAAGATTTATGTTTTCATTCACACTTCAAGATGTGAGAGAGTGCTTTGGATAAATAAGCCATAGAGCTGGTAACAAGCAACTGGACTGCTCATGTTTGTAAGTATTCTTCTTTTCTAAAATGTGTCCTAAAATGTGTTTCTAGATGCAGAAGGAAGTTTTACTTATGCTCTTCATGGCATGTGAATTTTCTTGATGGCTTTCTTTTACTAGTGCTAGCAGAGTATCTACATGGAAAAAACAAATGTTTTTATGTTGTGTTTATTTTAATTCCTTTCCAAGTGTTCTCTAATTGCCCTTGTGAAATCTTCACCAACCTAGGAGTTATTTAGAATGCATTGTTTTACTTTCAGTATTATTGTATTTTCAGGTGTTTTACTGATTTATATTGTGACAACCATATTAGATATTTGATAAAAATGCAATTAGTTTAACTCTAGTTAACATTATCTTTTTTGTCCCCAATAAGTCTGTCTTTATTAATGCTTTGATGTGCATGATAAAAGAGTGCACATTCTTCTGTTAGTTTGTATGGCTCCTTTAATGCCATGAAAATCAAATTGGGGCCAGGTGTGGTGGCTTACACCTATAATCCCAGCACTTTGGGAGGCCAAAGCAGGTGGATCACTTGAGGTCAGGAGTTCAAGACCAGCCTGGCCAACATGGTGAAACCCCGTCTCTGCTAAAAATACAAAAAATTAGCCAGTCATGGTGGCAGGCACCTGTAATCCCAGCTACTCGGGAGGCTGAGGCAGGAGACTCAGGAGAATCACCTGAACCTAGGAGGCAGAGATTGCCTGAGTGACAGAGCGAGACTCCGTCCCCCACCAAAAAAAATCTAATTGGGTGATTGTGATGTTGATGTCATCTAATTCCTATTTGTTCTTTTAATTTTATTAGTTTTTGCTTTGTATACTTTATAGATCTTGTTTTAGGTACATACACATATAGTATTGTTACGTTTTCGTGATCAATTACTTAGATTCTTTTGTAGTCTCTCTCTTAAGATATATTGTTTTGAAGGCTGATATATTGTTTTGAAGGCTGCTTTGCCTGATAATTAATGTAAACATGTTAGCCTTTTGATTCTACTTGTATGTCTTCCTCTTGTTTTAATTTTTAACCTCTCTGTCCTTAGTTTCTTATAGATAACATTTTCATTTGGTTCTTTTAAATAATACCTGTCTTTTTATTGGTATCCCCTATTTTGTGTGACATTTTCATCACACCTTCTTGTACTACTTTTTTTTTTTTTTGAGATGGAGTCTTGCTCTGAAAAATACTCTGAAAGAAAATGAACATAGCCTCATGAACCTGTATGTGACACAGAGAGCTGACGTTGAAAATAATTATAATTTTTTTTGAGATAGAGTCTTGCTCTGTCTCCCAGGATGTACTGCAGTGATGCAATCTTGGCTCATTACAACCTTGACCTCCCAGGTTTAAGTGATTCTCCTGCCTCAGCCTCTGAAGCAGGTGGATCACCTGAGGTCAGCAGTTTGAGACCAGCCTGGCCAAAAATGGCAAAACCCCATCTCTACCAAATATACAAAAATTAGCCAGACATGGTGCCATGCACCTGTATTCCCAGCTACTCAGGAGGCTGAGGCAAGAGAATCACCTGAACCTGGGAGATGAAGGTTGCAGCAAACTAAGATCGCGTCACTGCACACACGCCTGGCTGACAGAGACTCTTGTTTCCAAAAAAAAAAAAAAAAAAATTTTAATTATTTTCAACCGACGTCCTTGTATCAGACACAGGTCCATGAAACTGTTTTGTTTTGTTGTGTTTTGTTTTGTTTTTTTCAGAGTATTTTCTTTCAGGTCCAAATTAGCTAAATTTCGTTGTTCTATGCTAAATTACTACTATTATTTTTTAATTTTTCAGTTCTATTTTGTCACTTCATTCTTTTAAAAAAAAAAACAAAAAAACTTCTACCTCTCTGAGATTTCTAGTTTTTACTTTTTTTCAAGAAGCTTAATGATTAATTGCCAAAGCATTTTTACCGTGACTATTTTTAGCTTCTTACCCAATAACCACAACATTTGGTTAATCTTGAGGTTGGTTGGCTTGGTTAACTGTCTTTTCTTATCCTCCTTATGATTTTCCTTCCAATTATGATTTTTCCAGTTCTCATTAGATGGGTAATGTTTTAGTTTATCCTGCATTTTTTTCCTTTTTAAGTTAGGGGAATCTTAATCTATTCAAGTGTTTTATTTTAGCAGGCATGTTCCCTGTTTAGGTTTAATTCCTGTCCTGCTTTTGTAGGCCATGTTTTTTGTAGGCAACCTAGCTATCAGAGCTGAGGGGGTATGTTTTGATGCTTAGCTTATCTGATGTTACTGGGCTTCCAACTAGCACCTACTGATACTTCCTGGGATGGTGAAGGGTTTTCTCCGAGATGCCGGGTCTATGTGGAGGGTGGAGACTCTGGACCATAAGAATGACAAGAGTATCTTAGGTTAGGCAGCTCCATCATATGGGTTAACCTGGGTCAATCAGTCAGTAGCCTCATGAAATATGGGAAAGGATTCTTCAGTGTAGGGAACAATGAAGCTGTGCATGTGAGAACGCCTACAGCGTGGGCATCCCCAGGCCATTTGAGTAA